TCCGACGTCTCTCTTCACCCACTTCTACACTGTCTGTCCCCCAGGGAGTGGGTTAAATGTAGATCCTTGTAATCTGCTCCCCCTTTCTCCCTCACTTTCCCTCCACCCTCCCAGTATCGCCACTCTCACTACTGGTCCTGAGGGATTAATCTGTCCTGGATTCCCTGTGTTTCCAGTTCCTATCTGTACCAACGTACATCCTCCGGTCCAGCTGGTTTTGTAAGATAGAATTGGGATCATGATAGTGGGGGGAGGAAGCATTCAAGAACTAGAGGAAAATTATATATTTCACCATTGCTACACTGCACCCTGACTGGCCCGTCTCCTCCTTGCGGCCCTTCTGCAAGGGGATGTCCAATTTCCCACAGATGGGTCCTGGGTCCCCACTCCACACTCCCCCTCATTCACAATGCTATGATTTATTATTATTATTTTTTGGTCTTTGCTGCCTGATCCCTTTGATGCCTTGTGATCTCACAGGCTGGTGTTGCTTCTTCCATGTGAGCTTGGATGTTTCTCAGTTAGATGGCACCTTGTTTATCTTCCAGACTATAAGACCCCAGATTCTATATCTTTTGACAGCCAGGCACCATTAGCTTTCTTCACCACATTTAAATAAGATTTATTTCTGATTACTCTGCTATGAATCAATTGTACTTCTGAACTGAAGGTGACAGAGACATAATCTAACTTATTCAGAATAGGTGTCTCCTGGAAGGTTACAACACATCCTGGCATTACAAAGTGCCTGGAAAATTTTCACTCTTTTCCACGAACTTTTGAAGTCCCCTTGTATATTACAGAGCTGCGGGGAATGGTGGAGGACTAAGTGTCTAAAATGTGCAGGCCATCCATTTAGTATGCCATTGCTGCCACACTCACCCATGATACTATCATGGATTGCTATCCACCCATGCATCTTTGCATCACTTTGAAAAGCTTTCAAGTTTCAGGTAAGAGCATCTGATTGAATTAGCCTAGGCCCCATGCCATGCCTGTTTCCTAACTATCCCTAGTGGTTAAAAAGGAACGTTGGCTCAAATCAATTTCCATAAAGTAATGGAGGCTGCCTCATGAAATATCATGACATCTCCCCAAATACTATAGGTGTATAGAAATCCTGCAGGCAAAAGCAAATGCTCACTTGCCTACTTGAGAGGGGTGTGGAGATTTATTGTGATGGTCTATGAAAAGTGCTTAGCACAGTGCTGGCACACAGTTAAGCAGCCAATAAATGTTAGCACTATTATGATAGCCAATGTGCTAACTTGAATGAAATACTGGGGCAAATTTTACTTAAAGGTGGTTTTCCACCTTCCTAATGCCATGACCCTTTCATACAGTCTTGAAGGGTTGTTATGGGGTAAACATATGAAGTCATTATGTCGTTGCAATTACCAAATATATTTTACTTTATTTTAGTAAATCATTTTATTGTGGGCTCTTACAGTTCTTATAACAACCCATACATCAATTGTATCAAGCACATTTGTACATATGTTGCCATCATCATTTCCAAAACGCAATTGTAAAGCCACTTGATAATTGCTACAATATAGAAATGAAAGGACGCATGCATTGGAAAATAAAGAAAAAATATTTTTTCCAGGGAGATAGGACAGAGAAAATAAGAATTGTTCTTTTTTAAAAAACAAATTTATCGGCAGCTAATACAGATATATCATTCCATAGTTCCATCACATTAAGCAGTATTGTACAATACTAGCACAACAATGTTTCAAAACCTTCTCTTCTTTCTTGAACCCTTTGATATCATCTCCCCTTTACCCCTTCCCCTCCCCCGCCCTATCCCCCAGGAACACTTATTCTACTTGTCATGTCTATAGGCTCCTCAATCCTGGGTTGCATATGCCAAAAACCAGAAAACATTTATCAAAAACTCAAAACGGCTGCCCCCAATGACAAAGCATATTAGAGTTAAATCCCAATATGAAAACAAACAAACACAGAAAATGTTGAAAACCAGATCAGGCCCAATGTGTGTCAGAGGGGGTGGCAATCAAGTGACCAGGTTTTAACCGTTCAAGTCAGGTTTATCACTTTGATCTCCTATGGTCATCGCTCCAATCCCCTCTGTTTGGTAACCAGTTCATTCCCATCCCTTCATTATGGAATGAGGGAAATCACTGGAGGGTTATTTCCTGTACAGATCTCCCAAAAGTATCTTGGGCATCAATCGCCTTCTGCAAACCAGAATCTCACAATTTAGGCTCTGATACTATTCCCTCCTTTGGCTTCAGACTCTATGATTTACAATCCTTTGCTCACTGATATTGGTGTGCTTCTTCCATGTGGACTTGGTTGACATCTCGCTTAGATGGCTGCTTGTTTGGAAACAAGCCTTTACGTCTGTGGTTTTCCACCTTCCTAATGCCATGACCCTTTCATACAGTTCCCATGTTGTGGTGACCCCTAACCATAAAATTATTTTTGTTGCTACTTCATAACTGTAATTTTGCTACTGTTATGAATCATAATGTAAATATCTGATATGCAGGATCTATTTTCATTGTTATAAATTGAACATAATTAAAGCATAGTGATTAATCACAAAACAATGTAATTATATATTGTGAAGTATTTATTTCTAATTACAAATAAATGAAATTTTGTCTTGAAGCATGGTGTAGCATGGGTTCATGCCTGGTACTTTTATGTGGGCGTATCTGCATGTGGGCCTGGAGATGGATAGAAGAGCAGTGTCTTGGTTCTTAAGACCATCAGAAATGTGTTTTCTTGTGAAAGGGTCGTTCGAGCCCCAAAGGGGTCGAACCCACAGGTTGAGAAGCACGGCTTTATGTGAACTGAGTTCTTGAGACTAAGATTAGGCACGGGATGGAGTGGGGTCAGGAGTAGTCATGAGAGAGTGTGGCATGTCGATGACTGTAGATCGAGGGTGTGAACCTTCCATAGTGCACATAAATGAGTTTATATTTAATTGAAAGGTGCAAGGGTTTTGTAAATGTGTGACATCATCAATTTGGGGGCGGGTGATGAGGCTTTCTAGTAGTTACAGTTTTCAAAACCCATAGGGGCAGTTCTATGTTATCCTTTAGTCTCTGGGTCAGAATCAATCTGTTTTTTTTTGTTTTTTTTGGTACCTCTCTAGGAGCGGTGGAGGGATTGACCTAGAATGAGCAAAGTCAAAAGTTCAGCTAAAGGATGATGAAGGCTTGCAGTAAGGGAAAATAGAAAATATATCAACTTGGAAATAATTTATGATGTGGAATGTATTGGAATTTATGACTATGAAATTAGGAGGGAGGAAGAGGAGAGAGTTTTCGGTAATTTAAACATCACTGGATATCAGAGACTGGGAATACCATCATCAAGGAGCTCTGGTGAGCTGGCTGTTAACGGCAAGGTCAGTAGTTTGAAACCACCAGCCAGTTCCACAAGCTAAAGCTGAGGTTTTCTAGCCAAGATTTAGTCTGGGAAACTCACCTGGGCAGTTCTTTCCTGCCCTGTGGGGTTACTGTGAGTAGGCATGGAATTGATGGCAGTGAGTGAATGCTGTAATCAACCAATTAAGCAACTAGAATTTTAAAAAAAGTATACTTAAGATCTACCTGGCCAAAAAAAAAAAAGATCTACCTGGCAAAACAGATGTAAAATTCTGAGATTGCGGCAAGGCAAATTATTTCCTTTCATGGTTTCATTTCCTCTTTCTTACTTCCCTCTTTATTAAATTTTTCCTTTTAATCGTACGTTAACATACATGCTCATATGAGAACGGTGGAACATCTGAATATGTGAGCCTTTTCTCCTTTCCTGAATCTTCCAGATGTCCCTAAAATTCAGAGTTGCTAATTGGAAATGATAGGAGTGAACTCAATTTTCCTTTTGTCGTTTGTGATAGTTGGCACCACAGCCAAGTACCATTTAAAGACCAGCTCCTGTTGGTCATAAAGGCAGTGTAAATTTTTATGATAGAATCCAAATTTGCACAGCTACTTCATATTTAAGTTTAAATGATAATTCACAGATGTGTCCATTATGAAAACAGTAAATACTGTTTTTATACACAAAGATCGAAGCTGTAATAATGGAAGAGGTGGAGGGGGGGGCAGTAGAGGAGAGCAACAAAAAATCAAACCAACCAACGAAACCAAAACAAAAATAACCATAAAATGCCCTGAGGCTCCTTTCGACCACCCCGCACGTGGGAGGCCGCCCCGGGGACCGCGCTGCGGGCGAGGCGGTGCTCCTTCGGCCGACCGTCCGCCCCGGGTCCGGTCCCCGGCCCACCGCTTCCCCCGGAGGACGGATTCCGGCGGCTGCCGGTCCGCACGGCCACCGCACCGAGTCTGGAGCGGCCCTGCCTTCCTGCGGCGGGAAACAATAGGCTAGGAGGAAGGGGCTGTTGCGAAGTCGGAGGAACGAGGACTTCGGGCCGGCCGAGCGAAAGCCCGCTCGGCGTCGCCCCCGGCCCAGCTTCCACGACCTCGCGCGGCCAGCTCGCCCCGCCCAGGG